TTCATAAATTATAATTAATATCTTTGAATTAATTTTCAATTTTTTTGCGCCAAACAATTAAATCAATATAAATCAAATTCAACACACATACTCTAGTACAAATTCATTTTATAATGATTCCTTGTTACCTCTTTGCTACATTTTTTAATAGTAAGAATTTTATAAATTATTTTTAATTATAATTTTTTCAGATATAAATGGAAATAGCTCTATAAAATTATGATAGAACAGTATAAAATACATAATTTATTTGAATAATTAATCATCAAAGATGTTTAGTTCCAAATTTGTTTCTTCAGTAGTAAATTTGATGATTTTTCATTTAATCTTTACTTGTTAAGACTAATCTCAATATGAGTAGTTTATAAATACATAAATATACTTCTATTACTCTTTTCATCTAAAAGTCTATAAACTTAAAGTGATAGTTTCATTTAAAAACGGATTAGACAATTGATGAATTATTTGAGATTTCATTTAGACGATAAAGAAATCCATCTTCAAATAATCGATCATTTTTGGATATGATTTTAAATGGAGAAATAAATGATTGCAATTGAAATTTTAGAGATAATCATTTGCATTTTTTTAAGTAGTGTGATATGATGATTTGGAAAAAAACAAATAAATATTTCATTGTTTTGTTATTGTAATGAATTCAGTGTGAATAATTTCCTAGAGGAAATTCATCAAGAGGTTATTGGAAAAAAAATTCACTATCTTCAAAAGTTTCTGATTCACTTTTGATTAGATTTACAAATAGAGTTGAATGAGATTCAGAAATATTTTCTTTCCATTAAATAATTTATTTATTTTTGGAATAGACTATTGATAATACTGCTAAATATTACATTCCACTCGTTTTTGGATTAAAGAGAGGATCGATTATTCTTAATCAGTTGCCTTGTTCTACATCAAATTTAGGGATTCATAATGCTTTTAAATCCTTAATGGTATGCTTCTATGCTTCTTAATCTTTTTCTATAGTTTGAATTAAAAGAAGCCTTCAGATTCATCATCTTCAATCATTTTTTTATTAATTTAATGTTTAATATCTATAAGGATATCTTAGAGAATTTAAGTGTATATAATTTTAAAGATATTAGTAAATAATCATTGCATATATATGTTTTCAAAAAACACTAGTGTTTAAAATTCATATTTATAAATGATTTGTTATATTAGATCATTTTAATTGCGATGACAACATTGAAAAGTATAAAATAATAATAATGGTAGAATATATATATATATTCGATTTGTTGTGTAAATACTAACATATTTCATTGGATTGCTGTCATTTGAAGAAATATAATTTATCCTAAATATAGAAATGAAAGATTACAAATTTAGCAAACAATTCTTTGCTTTAACTTGAATGTGTTGTAGAATTGTAAATAAGATGTAAATAATATCCAATTTCTTCTTTAACTCTTTCTTACCATAAAGGATACTCCTTTAATTGATCTAAAAGATTAATATATTTATTGATAGCCTCTTCCAAATGATATTCATAAGTCAATGTTGTGTACTCACTTCTAAACCAAGTATTATGAGTTGCAATTTCTTTTGTTAATTCTAAGTAGATAGATCTATACTCCCAAGTCAATCTATGTAAATTCAAAATAAATTAGTATAGATTCTCAAATTGAATAAATTTCTGTTTTGCTAATTCATATTAACTCACTTCACTAAAGTATAAATATAAAAAAAATTACAAAGATTCCAATCTTGGAGTCCAATTTCTGGCAATATGAGAATAAAATCTACATTCGTAGTATGTCATAGGATCTCTTTCTAAGAATCCTTCTTCAGGGTCTTGAAATCCAGCTTTACACATTTCAGTCATAATTCTGTCTACCTATACTATTATTGAGTAGATTTCAATTAATACATACATGAATAATTAATCACTCTACTCTTAATGAAATAAGAAGCAAATCTAGTCACTATAGACATCCTTGTTTTATTAATAAATTAATATAAATATCCAAACTATATTCATATGTTTATATTTTAGACTCCTGTTTTATTATAATAAATTTCACTAATTCTAAAATAATGATTTAATCTTCTTCTTCCCTAAATCTTAAATCAAATAATCAAATATAAAAAGATAAATTTAGATCCTTCATTTAACCATGTCTCATAATAGCTGAAGTAATCTTCACTTTTATTATTGATATAGATTATTGATCTATTTATAATCTGAACTAAATTCTTTGCCATTAAACAGATAAATGAAAAAATTAAATATTAATTATTGAGCAAATAAATAGTTTTATTATCATTCTTAATATATAAACAGATTTCCTTTATGAATTGATGAATAATATTATTTTTAAGATTAAGAAAATCGATTTAAATAGGTCTAATTTTATTATTATTTTATTATATGGTCTTAAATCTTAAGATTAATGATTTTTATCTTATTCAATGATAAATTAATATCATAAAATAATTATTTCGATTAATATTTATTATCAATTAACTAGTAATAAAAGAAACAAAAAATCTTCACAATAATGATATTATTCAATTACTAATTTATTATTTTACTCTTTATTATGTATCTTTTTTATATTTAAATTGAATATAATTAATATTAATTAAAATATAGAGAAAACATAGTTATTAAATGGTTTATTAGAAATAATCAATCATTATAAAACAAATAAATTAAAAAATGAAATGTAACTCATTAAATTTATGTATGCAAACTTAAAATGTTATGAATAATAATATTTTAATTAAATTTACTGTTAATGAATTAAGAAGATAATTAGAGTCAGGATAGTATTAATGAAAAACAAATAGAAAATAATCTCAAAGACCTACTTGAGAGAATATTGCTAAATGCTGATAAATTTATTGATACTAAAGAAGAACTTAATTAAATAGAGGGATAACTTAAAAATTATGAAAATTTATGTCATTTGATTGGGATTATAAAAGCAGTATTTACTAATATGATGATGAAAGTAGAAAAAAAAATGTCGTAAGTAGTTAAATTTAACACTAATAAAGCAAATTAGAAAAATAAATAGATCCTAATTATTCATAAACATATAGTATGAGAACAGATGAAGAATATGATAAATTAGAATTAACAATGATAAAATATGAAGTAGAAATACGTAATCACATAAGAGTAAAAAATAATTTTAATTTAAGATTGAATAACAATTAAAATTATATGCTGAGTCAATTTAAACTAAATTAGATGAAAGTGAAATGAATAGAACTGAATTATTAAATACAACAAAATAATTAATTAGTGTAAAAATATATTCAAATTATTTAGAATTTAAAAAGAGAAAATTAAACATATCATGAAGTCTAACAGAAACTTAAAAATGAAATTATTCATTTAAAATAAATAATAAATGGTTTAGAAAAAGAAAATAGAAGAAAATCTTTAGATTTAAGTCAAAGAGATCAATTAAAACTATAATGTAAAGCTAATTAATAATCAATCAGTTAATCATATCAACTATAAAGTAGATGATAATAATAAAATTAGAATAAAACCATGATAAATCTTTTTAAGAATATAAAGGAAATATAAAATAAAGTTAAAAATGCATCACAACAACAGATAATAATGAGATACCAATTAATTCTTAATAATCCTTGAAATAAAATTATTATAATATTATCCATCAAGGAAATACAGCAAATAAAGCTGAAATATAAAAAGTTACTTAATAAAAGGAAATTTATAGAGGTTATGGATAAAGATTAAAAAGCAAAAATAATTCACTATCAAACATACAAGATGTAATATAAAGTGTTTCAGTACAAGATAGAAAAAAAGTTTTAAATAGCTAAACTATTTCAAAAAATAGCTCATAAGATAATAGTTAAATAATTAAATTTAAAGGTATTATTTTAATATAGATTTTATTAAGAATCTGGAGATTTGAGTAGAAGTAAAAGCTCAAGAAGAGCTAATTTAGGATAAAAATTGATTATTTTAGAATCTTAAATCAAATTAACATGTTGAAATATATTATTTATATTTTATTATTAAAAATTTAATAAAATAAATCATAAATCATTTCTTTATTTTATTAATAGACTGACGCCAAAATTGAGCACTTTCTTATATTTCAGTAATTAATTTCCATTTAGAAAGAGTTGTTCTAACAGGATTTACAACTGAAGTTCTTTTATTTTCTTATGAATTTGATTATTTAGTTCGTTTTTTCTTATTTTTTCTAATTGCCATTCTTTAATTAATTGTATTATTTTAGTCTTAAAGTTACTTTTTAATGACATTATCATATTCTTTTGAAATTTAATCATATTCTTACAAAAGAGAATTTAGATCACCTTTTTAATCTTACTTTCTTTCCTAAACTTCCATACAAATTTCTCTTTCTTTAGCTTAATGTTTTTTAAACACACTAAATCTCATTTTAGAATTGGAATCAGAATTTTATTGTAAAAATGGTCTATTAAATCTTTATTCTTCATCAAGTTTAAGTTAATCTAGTGCTTAACTATTTATTAATGTTGTATATCTATTTTAAAGTGCTGTTGATCTTTCATCATTTTCCATCATTATTTCAATTGTTTCTGGTCTACTCAATATAAATTCCATTTTTTCTAAGAAGTAATCTTTTAAGGATTGTAAATTAGGTTCTAATAATTCTACTAAATAACTATATATTTCTAAGAGTTTTGTAACATGATCAATATTGTATAGTCTTTCATGAAATACTGCTTCTAATTATAAAAGAGTGGTTAATTATTCACTATCAATTGATGGTTTTTATTTCTTTTATTTTTCTGCTGATTTATATTTAGGTGAACTTAATGCATTTTAGACTGCAGAAACGAATAACATAAAAAATAATATATTTATAATATGAATGTATAAAGTAAGAATTTCAATTAATAATTGTAGCAAAAACATTATTTGAATCAATAAAATAAATTATAAATAACATTGCATAATAATAGAAAAAGTTATTTATTCTGATTACAAATCATTTTCAATAGTAGGTTACTGTGTTTTGATATTATTTACTTGTTTTTGATTCAGTTATCTTTTTTCCAGATGTTGTTATTAGATTTTAATGATGACTTAATACACTTTTAGGTATCTTATTTTTAAGTTGACCATTTGTAAGAATATCATGAGATGGAGGTGATTAAGGTCCTTTTAATTAAAATCCATTTTATGTCATTTCATGCATAAATAAATTAGCATCTGTTAATTTTGGAGATTTTGGTGATGTTGGTTCATTATTTATTTAATATTTATTAAGTTCCTAAATAAATACAACATTCATTTTATCTTCTAACATTGTAACTTTTGGAGATATTTATTTATATAAATAACCTGATCTAATTACATTTGATCCATCTCCTTCTTTTGATGAAAATCGTTTTTATTTTTACTATTATTAATCATCTAACAAATAACATAAAATGTTAACTTTTAGGTAGCAGTAATTTTCCAGCACTTGAAACCTTCTTAAGTTAAGAGTTATTTATCTCTGTTTATTTTTAAATGATTTACAGATTTCCCTTTAAATTATTGCTCTCCTTAGTCATAATAGATGTCTTTCTACTTCCTGAGTTGATACTAGTAGCTTGTACATGTTCACTCAAACCTCTTTTTTCAATTACTAATTAATTTTTCGGTGATGAACTTTTCATATATATAATTTATTCTTTATATTCTTAAGGTAATTAACATATATTTTATAACTTGATGAGAAATAAATAAAAAATTTCAATATATCTTATAAATTGATTTCTGTTGATTATAGAACTAATCTCCTTATCCTTTTTTATTTTATTTAATCTAAATTGTAATTTATAAATATTTATTACATATTGTTCATTTTAACTTTATTAAAATATTTATTTATAAAGTTTTAAGACTTATTATTCTACTATATTAGATTATTCATAAATTGATCGACTTTAAAGATATTCTTTCATCCAATTGCTTTTTATTTAATTAGCCTTTTAATAACTTTTTAATAAATGTCGAAAACGATCTTCATAATAATTATTATTTTTTGATCTATCAATATAAATTTAAAAACCTAAAATTCTAATAATTATTACAATCATTTTATAATGAAGAACTCTATTGATCAATGAAAGTCTTAATAGATTATGATTTTTTATGTGTTTCAGACTTTCCATATTCATCATTACCATCAATTACTTATATCTTTAAATTTAACATATTTTTACTTAGCTAGTAAATAAATTAATTTTAGAATTGAAATCTTATGATTTTTAAGTATACATAATCCTTAAATGATTTTGAATTTTAAATTAAATCAAATTTTTTTAAAATAGTATTTATTATCAATACAAGCTTTTATTATTATAATAATTCGTTACTTTACCTAAATCTTTTGGTTCTTTATAGATATAATAAAACATTATAGCATCTATTTTTATGATTTTCTAGATTGTTAAGTTAAATTAATCTTTTCAAAACTTGGATTAATAATTCTTTAAGAATTTAATTCAATTTATCTTTTCCTTTCGCTAGCTTCATAATTATTTTTAACATTCTGAATTATATCGGGGAGTATCAGTAGGATAAATTTTGAAGGTGAATATAGAGTTTTATAAGATTAACTATTCTTATTTCTCAAACCATTAAGTATATTTGGATGATGGATTTATTGCTGTTTGTATACAGTTAAAATTTAAATTTAATTAAGATTTCTTATTGGAGTTGAATTCTCAAAAATTCTATTTGTTAGTCTCAAATATGAATTATAGATATCAATTTTCTTCATAACAGATTGATTTAAATTTATCAATAATTCTAAGTTAAAGTAATATTTTTGATTCATACACACTTTTCATCCTAAGAATGTTTATTGAATATTTGATGTTGTTTTATATACATTTAGGTTGATTTTAATACTTCCAGTGCAAAATTTGTCTTATTAATTTTATTTTTAGAATAGTTAAAGGCAAAATAAATAAACATGAGTAAAATGAAGTTAAAGCTCATTCAATATACAAAGGATCAGGAGTCCAATTAAGATAAATCAAATTAATAGAATCAAACATAAGAAATAGAATAAATGCTGTCATCGCCAGAAGTGAAAAAATTTGAAGCCTTCTTGTTCGAATCATTTACAAGTAAATAAAGGTTGTCTAAGAAATTTTCTTAATTCGCTCCTCTTCCCTCAAAAGTGAACAACATTTATGATGATGAATTCAGTTTAAATCATAGTCATGATCATCGAAACAGTGAATAATGATTAAACTTCTTATTTATTTTCCCAAAAGTCTATAACCATTTTATTAATGATATATAATAATCCTATTAAAACTAGAATAGCATATTTATATGAATTTAACATTCTTTCTTTAAACTAATTTATAAAATTTTCAAAGACTAATTTTGAAATAATAATTACCCTTATATACCTCCATAAACTTTTATATTTATAATATATAGTGTATTAATGTTCATAGATATTCAGATATTAGAAATAATATTAAAGTGTGATGGAATTAACATATATAAAATATCTCACNTACAAGCTTTTATTATTATAATAATTCGTTACTTTACCTAAATCTTTTGGTTCTTTATAGATATAATAAAACATTATAGCATCTATTTTTATGATTTTCTAGATTGTTAAGTTAAATTAATCTTTTCAAAACTTGGATTAATAATTCTTTAAGAATTTAATTCAATTTATCTTTTCCTTTCGCTAGCTTCATAATTATTTTTAACATTCTGAATTATATCGGGGAGTATCAGTAGGATAAATTTTGAAGGTGAATATAGAGTTTTATAAGATTAACTATTCTTATTTCTCAAACCATTAAGTATATTTGGATGATGGATTTATTGCTGTTTGTATACAGTTAAAATTTAAATTTAATTAAGATTTCTTATTGGAGTTGAATTCTCAAAAATTCTATTTGTTAGTCTCAAATATGAATTATAGATATCAATTTTCTTCATAACAGATTGATTTAAATTTATCAATAATTCTAAGTTAAAGTAATATTTTTGATTCATACACACTTTTCATCCTAAGAATGTTTATTGAATATTTGATGTTGTTTTATATACATTTAGGTTGATTTTAATACTTCCAGTGCAAAATTTGTCTTATTAATTTTATTTTTAGAATAGTTAAAGGCAAAATAAATAAACATGAGTAAAATGAAGTTAAAGCTCATTCAATATACAAAGGATCAGGAGTCCAATTAAGATAAATCAAATTAATAGAATCAAACATAAGAAATAGAATAAATGCTGTCATCGCCAGAAGTGAAAAAATTTGAAGCCTTCTTGTTCGAATCATTTACAAGTAAATAAAGGTTGTCTAAGAAATTTTCTTAATTCGCTCCTCTTCCCTCAAAAGTGAACAACATTTATGATGATGAATTCAGTTTAAATCATAGTCATGATCATCGAAACAGTGAATAATGATTAAACTTCTTATTTATTTTCCCAAAAGTCTATAACCATTTTATTAATGATATATAATAATCCTATTAAAACTAGAATAGCATATTTATATGAATTTAACATTCTTTCTTTAAACTAATTTATAAAATTTTCAAAGACTAATTTTGAAATAATAATTACCCTTATATACCTCCATAAACTTTTATATTTATAATATATAGTGTATTAATGTTCATAGATATTCAGATATTAGAAATAATATTAAAGTGTGATGGAATTAACATATATAAAATATCTCACTGAATTATGTAAATACATTTATTTTAATGAAATTGATATTTAATAAAATTAAATTAATAGTTATATAAAAATATATTAAAAGAAAAGAAAAAAACAGAACTTACAATAATCTTCTGTGTGTATTGTCATTTTTTCAACAATCTATGATAACTAATATCTGGAAAATTTGAATCAAATGATATTAAGATAAATGAAAACAAAGAGGAGTTATTATTTTGAAATATCAAATGAGATTTATAAAGCCTCTTATTTTTAAAAGGATTATACCCTTATAAAATAAATTTTTTGTTTTGTCTTGTATAAAATTATATATAAAATAGAAATAGATTTGAATACATTTCTTTTAATTTATATATACCCAATATTTTTGATAATAACAATTACAAATTATGATTTTTAATGTAATGGATAAAATAATAATTTATTTGATATGAATAAATTCAACTAATTTACTTAAAGCTTGAATAGGCTTTAAATTCTAATTTTCAATTATTGAAATACTAAATTCAGTTTAATTTATTTAATTATTGCAATTTTGTGATTAATCAAGCTATATTTTATGATTCAATATTAAAGATCTCTTTGATATTATTGATATCAAATAAAATAATAATTTATCTACTTTTATTTTATGCCTTATTTTATATACTATAAACCAATCATTTAATTTCACAATATATTGGTATTATTATAGTATTAGTTACATCACCTCAAATTTTGAGTATGTGGAATAATTAAATACGTTCTCAAAAGAATTATATTAATGTTTTTATTTTTTTCTGATTAATTAAATTTATGATTTAGGAAAACCAATAAAATATTTTAATATTCATTTCTGTAATTTATCATAAAATTAAATTATTTCTGTAACTGTAAAAATATCAATTACATTTTCAAAGATTGTGATATTAGTAATTACAAATATACTAATATAATAATTAGTAGAGTTATATACTAAATTAAATAAATAGATATCTAATTGCAATATATATATATATAAGAAATCATGATAAGTAAACTTTCTTCATCTTTAAAACTTTGACTCTATCTATAGGACAATGATCAATCCTTTTTGAACATTCTTCACATACACAAACATGTCCACACGGCTTCAGTACTATGCAATATTCCTTTTGTAGACATATCACACAAAACTTTTATATCAGTGAATTTTTATAAAGAGATATCTAGTTTTTTGTTTTAACTAATTGATCCTCCACTTTTTTTATATCTTCAAAACTTTATTATCTTATTGTCTCAAAATCTCCTTCATACAATTTCATTTATAGTTTTAATTAACTATTTGCTTCTTCTATTTGTTTAACTTTACTTTTCTCTCTTTATAACTCATAATTAATTATTAAGTAATCTTATTGCAAAGCTTTACTATGTTCCTTCTTTTTTTTTTAATCCCAAATTTGATTTGGACTTGAATCCAAAAATTCACGAAAAAGTCTAATAACACGAAAAAGTTATTTATGTGCCAATATTAGTTAATCTTATAAAGAATTTCCAATGATATCTAAACATTGGGAATCAACAAGACTTCTGATATCATCATCATTTTAACAACAAAGTATCTCTTCAACTAGCATTTCATCATCCTATTCACTCATTTCTTTATTAAGAATAATTAAATATCAAAATTATATTATGATTCCTATTATAATCTATAATATTTATAAAACATATATATATTAATAATTGAATCAATCCATTTATTTAAATTAAAAATATATTTGATTACAATAGCATTCATATATATATTCAATCTTTTTTAATTTAATGAATTCTTATACTTTCTTATAATTATAAATATTATTTTAGACTAATACAATGAAATATTAATTACATATCCTATCATATAATATACTATAAATGAATATTATAATTTATTATTTCATTTTTTAGAATAAGTTTTTCTAATTTATATTTTTTGTAAAAATGAATGAGGAATAGTGTGATTATGTCTTCAAATTTATAATTATTGGAAATGGCAATTGTGGAAAAACAAGTCTACTATATCATTATATTCATGAGAAATGTAAATTATACAATGAATCAAGAAATTGCAAATGTTAAACAAACATTAGGAGTTGAATTTTCTGCCAAGATAATTTAAGTAAAATAAAAGAGAATTAAAATGTAATTATGGGATACTGCTGGTTAAGAGAGATATAGAGCCTTAACCAAAGCTTATTATAGAGGTGCCTTAGGTGCTTTAATTGTATTTGATGTTACTAAGTACAAATATACAGTACAATAGTTCAGACTCTTTTGAGGCTCTTTAAGAGTGGATTAAACATGCCAGAGATTATTCTAAACCATCTATTTAAATTATAATAATTGGAAATAAAATAGATCTTGAAAAAGAGAGGTAAAATTATATTATTAACAAAGAGTGATTTCTGAATAATCAGCTAAATAATTTTGTTAAGAAAATGATGTATAATATGTGGAAACTAGTGCTACTACTGGTTATTAAGTCAATGAAGCATTTACACAAATAACAATAAAAATTTTAGATTTATTGTAATAAGGAGTAATTGATGGTGGTATGATCAAACCAAAATTCCTTATGTCAAAAAAAGTAGATGAAAAAGAAAAATAATAACAATGTAATTGTTGACCTTTTGTTTTTATTAGTTTATAACATTAAATATCAACTATAAAATCATTTGGATTTAAATTTTCTTAATGTTTCTTTTTATATATAATTATATATATATATATATATCATAAATGATAACCTTCTCAAAGGTTTTCAACGTTACCACCTTCATCATCAAGTTCTGAGGTCCATAATGTCAAGTTATCTCTAATTAATTACATAATGGTTGTTGCATCTTTGTATTGATCTTCTTAAATTTATTCAATGTCAGCAATAGCATCATCAAAAGCCTATAAATGATTAATAAGATTCATTACTGATTTAGCTAATTAGCATGCCTTAGCAGCATCATTCAAGACTTCATAATAGAAAACTGAGAAATTCAAAGCAAGTCCTAATCTGATTGGATTTGTGGTTTTTAATTCTGAATTAGCAACATTGGAAGCAGCTTAGTAAGCGGCAAGAGCACCATCAGCAGCCTTTTTGTGTTAATCACCAGAGGCATATTCAGAAATGTATCTGTGATAATCTCCCTTCATCTTGTGGAAGAACACTTTAGCTTCAGGAGTTGAAGCAGTTTTGATCAAATGACTGTCGATCAAATTGAGGATATCATGGCAATATTGATTCAATTCTTCTTCAATCTTCTTCTTGTAGCTTCTGATTAACACAAGATTTTTTTGTGAGGCAGGTTGGGATTGAGCCTAAAATTTAAATTTTTTTTTTTACTTTTCCTTCTTCTTTGTTTTCAATACTGGACAATACTCTCCAAGCTGTTCTTCTTCCACCAATGCTATTTTTGTAAGCTACAGAAAGAAGGTTTCTCTCTTCAATTGATAACTCTTATCCATTTTGAACCACTTATTTGATGTAATTGACCATATCTTCGAATCTCTCTGTTTATTCTGTCAATTTGGTCATATAGATGAGTTCTTCCCTAGTGCTCATTTAGATATTTAAAAATTTAAATTCTTATTTGTTTCCAAAATCAAAGATCACTCTTAAATATACCAAAATTCAATATAATCAAATAAATCTAATTTTATTTAAATATATAATATGAAGTATTATACTTTATATATATATAATTCAAATATCTTAACCCATATTTATTTGATATATAGTTCATAAATAAATTATAAATGATATAAATCATTAATATCTTCATTCCCTAATTAAAATAAACAAAGGGCTTAGTTATTTCTTGAATTGAAAATTTGAATTTTATTTCAATAATGTTTATAGAATTCAATAATTATTATACATCATTATACATATTAATTCAATATCTATTATGATTATTGATATCAAATACTAGAGACAACTCTAATCATATAATAGTATAGATTATTCTAAAATCAAATATATTTTATTTTTGAAAATAAATTCTTAACAATATTGATCCTATAATAAATATGCTTATGTTTGTATAAATACAATACATAATAATTCTTAGTAGAAACAACTTAAAGATTTTTATAAATTGATAGGATATAATTAATATAAAACAAACCCTTCTTTTATAGCAATATTTATTATAATTTTGATAATAAATGAAGAGTATCTAATTTTTGATTATCCCATTGATTAAAGACATATTAGTTTATACATAATTATTTTTATTAGATTTATAGTTCTTTAATCAATATTAGGTCTGATTCTTATTAGAATAAGTATTTCTTTAATTATTTAAATTTATATGTAAGAATAGCATTTTAAGAAAATTAATCAATATTACTTTTAGAAAGTAATAGGGAGTGTATGTCAATTGTAAATATTCTTAGGGATCATTTGGGATTGTATATTTAGGATGGGATGATAATTTTAAAAGATAAGTAGCAATCAAGGAAATTTGCATTTCTAAATTTGATCTTAATTAAGTATAGGATAAGAGATAATATTAAATGATTGAAAAAGAAATAGAAATTAGCAAGAAATTGAAAAATAAAAATATAGTTGAGTTGTATGATAGTTTTAAGACTGAGAAATACATTTATATTATTTTTGAGTATTGCAGTAATGGTGATTTAGAGATTTTATTTAAAAAAAATAGATTCTAAGAGGCTGAAGTAAAGGCTATATTTTAATAAATAATTGGAGGAATTAAATATTTATATTAATAGAAAGTTGTTCATAGAGATATAAAACTTGCAAATATTTATATAAATTAAGAATGGATTATCAAATTAGGAGATTTTGGTTTTGCAAGAAATTTTGATAATTATATGTAATCATATTGTGGAACTCCAATAACAATGGCTCCAGAGATAATTTGTGGAAAAGGAGAATATGATGAAAAATGTGATATTTGGTCTTTGGGTATGATTTTGTATATGATGGTATTTGGTAGTAGTTATTTATAATAATTCATAACACCAAAAACATCTTTAAAAGAATTTTCAGAAATAGTTTAAAAATAAGAAGTAAGAACTATTTAATTTTAGGTTGTATTTCCTGCCAAAGCACTTATTTCATAAGGATTAAGAGATTTATTTACAAGAATGCTTAAAGTAGATGCAAAAAAGAGAATTGGATATTAAGAATTATTTGAACATTATTGGATTACAGAAGGAGAGAATGAAAGTTTTAAGAAGAGTGTTCGTTGTATATCTAAGAGAATGAATTCTGGAGAAGCTAGTGATATTAAGATTCCTTTATAATAAACAATTAATGAATAACTAAGTTATTAATTTGGTCAGTATGGAATAGTAAGAAATGAAATAATTGAAAATATAAGAGATATGTTAAACTTATGTTAAAATATTGATAATGTTAAAAGACTTTGTGAGACTTTCTTAAAGAAATTAAGATCATCATAAAATAATTACTAAATAACTATAATAATGAAAAATTAAAATAGAATATTTAAGGAAGGGAAGGTTAAGATTTTTGATATCAAATTTAAATTAACATATTTACTATTAAAAATATTACAAGAATTAATAATGACAGACAATGTTACTAATGATAGATTAGAAAAGGCACAAAAATTATTTGATATAGCATAAAAAACTAATATTAGTAATGTTATAAACATTAAAATTACAAAAGAGGAAATAGAAAAAATGAATGATTAAGAATTAAATTAATAATTTGAATAATTAGGAGATGAATTAAGAGAAATTATGATATAATAATAAGCAAGATAATAATAACGACCACATAAGAAAGAATATGAAATAATATTTGAGAATAAGTAATTAGAAGAATAAACTACTTTAATGTTGGGAAGTGTAATTGAGAATTTTCGTCTCCTTAGAAAAAATGAGAATATATGAAATACTTATAATAAAATTTTATTATGTTGTCAATTTAGAAAGTAAATATTGCCTCTCTCTATAACAGAAATGAAGAATACAAATCTTGTAATCGTGAGACTGATAGAGAAGATGGTTCAAAAATATGTATACTTCTATAATAATTTTAGAGAAGTTCAAAGATATATTGCATTAAAATATTATACCTATCAATGAATTATTACATTTGGCATGGTCAGGAGTGCCTAGTGAACTCAGAAGTACAGTTTGGAGACTTTTACTTAAATATTAATCTCCAAATAGGGATGCTAATGTATATATATGATAATAGACTTAATTAGTTTGCTATTATAGAAAGAAAAAGAAGTATGTACTATGAAATGTGTGATATTTATTTTGCTAAAAATCAATAATATGATGAAAGAGAGAAAAAGATTCTAAAATAAATTTCAGAAGATGTTAAACGCACAATACCAGATTCTGCAATATTTAGAAACCCTTAAATTTAAATTTTATTAGAAAGAATCCTTTTTATTTGGAATATACGAAATCCTGCATGTGGATATGTACAAGGAATGAATGATATCGTTAGTCCTTTTTTGGTTGTCTTCTTATCTGATTATATTGATATTGACACAACAAAATTACAATTCACTAATGAAAAACAATTAGATCATTTAGATTAAAGGTTAATTAAATAAGTAGAAGCAGATTCTTATTGGTGTCTATGTAAATTATTAGAGAGTGT